TAGATAGATAGATAGATAGATAGATAGATAGATAGATAGATAGATAGTATCTGTAAAATTGTACGCAATTTCATTCAATCAATATTGAATACATGTCTAATGTTTCTCATGGTTAATTTTTGGGGTGTTATGTCACAGTGAAGAAGGTATTGTAACTAAGAACAAAACCATAGGAATAAAGAGGGAGCTCCGAGTATGGTACGGAAAGAAAAAGCTTGGAGATGAACAGAGGGAGGAGCTGTTGTTCATTTTAGGAGACAAAGACAAAAAAAACGTCATTCTGTTTCAAGTTAGTAGAACATCAAATCATTGATGAGGAATTAGATTTTTTTTCTCAAAATGATTGCTTAAGGGTTGCTTTAATATAATCTAACATATTTCAACATGCAGTCGTAGGATGTTATAAAAAAGGGCATGGTGAGAATTCCAATATGTCCTGCACTGATATATTGCAAGAAATGCCATGCAAATGGATTCAAGCTGCGGGTCAGAAGGCATCATCGTGAGTCGTATTATCATAACAGCACTTTCCCCCTACCATGCCCTAAAAGCAGCTGTGGAGGACTTCAAACTTAACATTTGACAAAAAAACAACAAGTCCACGTTGTCGCGGAGGAAACGTTAACTTCATGTGAGAATATGTAAGAAAAATCCAGAATCCAGGCAGAAGCACGTCATTTTGCAGGTAGGTTGAATTGTATTTGTCTCTCTATATGTGTATGTGTGTGTGTGTGTGTGTGTGCCAGTGAAGACACCACCCAAGTCTGTCGGGAAGGGGAGTGCGTGCAAGCGAGGGTGAGGAGATGGAGAGGGAGGAGGGAGGGAGGGATGGAGGGAGGGAGGGAGGGAGGAAGGGAGGAAGGGGGAGTCGTTTCAGCACCACGGACAGCTCCAGTACGAGCAGCCGGCAGCAGCCTCTCTCTGCCGAGCTGCTGAGAAAAAGGAAGGAAAAGACACAAAAAGAAGATTTGGCAACTTGGATTACAGCGCCCGCTTGACAAAAGCCAAAGATTCCGTCTTTTTTTTGGTTTTCCCCCCAGCACGGGATCTTTTTGCGTGCGTTTGCGTGCTTTTGGAGCAGTTTATATTTGTAGTGACTGACATCAAGTCACAATCCCCTAAAAAGGACAAGGAGTGCGATCTCGGATAAGTTTATTTTACAGTAAAAGGAGTCCCGCGTTCTCATGTGAGACCAGAACATATTTTGATGTTCGAGGGAAGTTAAAGAACGAGAAAAAAAAGAAAAGAAAAGAAAAAAGTGGCAACATCTGCATCGGCACCCTCCTCTCTTTGGACTACATCCTGAAATAAGTTAGTCGGCTTTACTCCTTTTTCAGCTCTCGAGCGTGTCTGGGGATCGAGATCTGGTCTAGATTTGTTGGGGAAATATTCCCCGGAGCAAAATAAAATCGCGATGAGGCAAGTTTCTTTTTCAATGGGTGCATGAAGCTTCTTTCAGCCTCCATCATCGCCGTTCCCACGGGCGATGGGAGTCCTGCAAACTGATTTCTGATTCTCTCCACCTTCCAGTTACCCATTTTTTTTCTATTTACCATTACACACATTTTGAAAAGCTTGTGAATAGGGTAGCCTACTAATTGGTCATAATGTCATCGGACTGACATTCCGATCATTGCCAGATGAGGTTGGAGACTAAGAGGAACGCAGGAGGCAGTTCGCGCAACTTTTTATCCACATTTGTCTCATCATTTTTTATCATTTTCAGACTTGTCGAAAGAGAGAGGTGTGTTTTTTTTCTCCGTAGCTGTTCATGACGGAAACGATGGCGCTGAGTGGAAACTGTAGGACTAACCCCAAAGACCAGGAATCGGTCCAGAACAGCTTCCCAGATGTCGTCGAGCTAAACGTGGGGGGTCAGGTCTATTACACGCGACACTCCACTTTGGTGAGCACCCCGAATTCCTTACTGGGAAAGCTATTCTCCTCGAAGAAAGACGCGACCAACGATCTGGCCAGGGACCCCAAGGGACGGTACTTCATCGACAGGGACGGTTTTTTGTTCCGGTACGTGTTGGACTATCTCCGAGACAAGCAGGTCGTGCTCCCGGACCACTTCCCGGAGAAAGGGAGGCTGAGGAAGGAGGCGGAGTACTTCCAGCTGCCCGACCTGGTCAAGCTCCTGACCCCGGAGGAGGTCAAGCACAGCCCGGACGACTTCTTCCACAGCGACTACGAGGACGGCTCCCTGCAGGGCAGCGACCACCGGCAGTGCCCGCCGCCCTCCCTGGTCCCCGCGGACCGGAAGAGCGGCTTCGTCACGGTGGGCTACCGGGGGTCGTGCACCGTGGGCCGGGAGAGTCAGACCGACGCCAAGTTCAGGAGGGTCCCGCGGATACTCATCTGCGGACGCGTGGCCCTGGCCAAAGAGGTGTTCGGGGAGACCCTGAACGAGAGCCGGGACCCGGACAGGACCCTGGACAGGTACACCTCCCGGTTCTACCTCAAGTTCAAGCAGCTGGAGAGGGCTTTTGACATGCTGTCCGAGTGCGGGTTCCAAATGGTGGCCTGCAACTCGTCGGTCACCGCCTCGTTCGTCAACCAGCACACGGACGACAAGATCTGGTCCAGCTACACGGAGTACATTTTTTATCGTAAGTCACACCTTTTTTGGTTGTTTTTTTTTTTGTTCTGCAGAGGGTTGAGACATGACAGCACGTGCCAAACAGCCGCTAGAAGGCGCACGTGCTATTTCGAGTTACGCAAAGGGGCGTCTAGTTTTGGGAATGGTTTGGCCTGCAAAAGTTGTCTTTTTTACACATGTGGGTGTGACCCCTAGAGATGGAATGGTGATTAAATTATTTGTTTTTTTGGTCTTTCCTCATATATTCCAGTGCACTTACTTATGGCATTATGTCAGTCCAATGGGCTTTGACAAGGAGGAGAACCTTGGTGTTCAACTGAATGGTGGATTTCCAGCCGTGGAGATCCCAAAAATGCTGGGTGCGATCCTCTCGTTTGTGGCCCGGGGCAGGCGGCATCTCCTCGGTTAAAATTGCGGGCAAACTGTTGAGTTTATACGCTCGGTTGGAGTCTGAGGATTTGTCTGAGCCCTGTGGAACAAAACCAATTAGAGATCACCTCTCATAATTGAGGTTAAGCCAAGGTGTTGTTATCTCACCATGGAAGCGAGGGAAACTTCGCAGCAAACACTCAACTGAAAGACTAGTCTTGATCTCAGCGTGTTCCGACCTATTACAGCGTCTTGCAGCATTGCAGGAGTTTCCGTTTTAGAAGACTTTACCAGATTTGAATAATTTCACTCTGCACCATGGCAGCTGTCAGATCAATGACTAGTCAGTGCTTTGCCATTTCCCATCATTGCGCAATTTGCTGCTCCACCTTCTCGCTCTTTCATCCCGTCCATCCTTTCACTTTTCGCATTTCCTTCTGGCTTTGCCATTGCTTTTCCTTCCATTTCTTCCATCTGTGCCGCTCACTTGGAGCTGTGTAGGAGGGTTGGACCCAGGTCAGGAAGAATAACTCATCGGTACTTTTACGCTGGCTCTCGTAAGATTTTATGACGCCACAAAATAATCCACCCTCTTTTGGTATAACAGTCTATCATTTATAACAATCTTTATACTCACCTCTCACAAGTAGAATAAAGCACTGGCACGTTCCCAGAAAGGATCATCTTTGATTATCTCTTAAAAATCAATGTCCCCTCCAATGATGATCCCATAATTTGAGAACAGATTGGTTCATTTTAATGCTGAAATGAGAGAAAGAAAAAAAATCCTTTCAAACATGAGCTTGGGGCCCACAAAACAACCGACAGGCTCGTTTTCTCTGTGGCCACCGTGTTCTAATTCCTAAGACACATCCACACAGTGGCAGAAGCACTTAATTAAGACATTCATTAACTACAGTAGCAGACATTTTATATGTATGATGAAATATGCTAGTGGTCTTGTTTATGTGGGACAAACAATGATGTCTACAGAGATTTGCATATCTGAATGTAAGACTCTGATTACATGGATTACACAATGGCAGGCATTGTGCAGAGGCTAACCACAGCTCTGCAGCATCATCGAAATTTGGGAGAAAAGAAATGCATTTCAACCCCTACTCAAGAGATGCCTATTGTTTCATAGAAAGGTATTAGTTTCATGGTGAAGTATTAGATCTTTGATACGATTGCAGTGGAGTTCTGTTGATGAAGGAATACATTAGTCATGATTGGGATAACTTTACTCCTACATTCTCGTGAGGGTTGTCAGCTGTATTGGCTGCCCGACAAGCTTTAAACCAGCTTCAACTCTTTGTTCAATGGCTTTCGCACAATCGTTTTAGCTGTCGCAACTCGTCTGTTGCATTTCTCTTTCCACCTTTATTCTGACATTGATAGAAGGAGTAAAGTCCGACCCTTTTTGCACCAGTAAAAAGCTGTATAAAAGTCAGTAAGCTCCAGATTGACTTGATTTTCTTTCTTTAAAAAAGACAAATCTTTCTCCATAGATTCCCATTAGATTCAACACATTTTCTAAGAAACTGCAGATCCTGAAATAGAGGCCTCAGATTGGATTATTGTGAATCCCATTAATAGTATCTTATCACAGTATCTCCTCCTGGGGAATGGAGGCCCAGCAGACATATCACCCTGCATTATGAGTTTGAAAAAGTAAACTGTGGAATTTGTGAAGCGTCTGACTGTGAACTGTGCAGATTTAGTAATCCTGATAGATGAAACACTTTGTATTTCCTCTTTTAAAGTGTCTATAAAAACTTTACCACGTGATCAAACCTTTTTTCTCTGACTGGACCTGCCCCCACTCAGGATCTACTATTCATTTAAAGACCAGACCAACACTTATTCTACACCATTTGAGATTTAAAACCAATATCCCCCGTCTTCCTCTGGATGAAACACCTATAACTTTACCCAGTGGTATAACAAACTTTCGGAAACTTTGCAAAATCATTGCCAGTGTGCATTTAAGTTAGATGTTTATCCTTGAAATGTTCCATAATGTGTATGGGGAAACTGTTAAACAAGTTTTGGGTTAAAACCCCAAAAGATAAGTCAAATCAATACAGTGTCAATATCTGAAGTTGCAACAAATATGTCTAGAGAGAGGCTATTCAACTCCCCTGTCTGGGAACATTTGCAAAACAGAAATCAATTGAGTACTTCTGGAGAGAAACATATATCAAACTTGTAGACTTTATTTACTAATTTGACAATCTTATCAGCTCATGAACCTTCAAATCCATAATTCCATGTGGAAGTGTCAGCTTTAACCGTAAGTTTGTCATGTGTCTACTTTTTTTTATACCTGACAATAAATTAAACTATGATCTAAGGATAGGATTTCAGGTCTAGAAGAATGACATCATTTCACAGCTTTATCACTGGACACTCTCTAAAATGTTTCACAAGTGAAATAAGATTTTCTTAGAAGGTCATTTTTTGCTGCCTTTTTCATAGTTTCATATTTTATGAAACTGTAAAATATACACAAGATTAAAAAAACAGTGTTATCTGAAAATATTCTCCGAAAAAAAAAAAAAACTAACAATGGCCGGCTTATAAATAACAAACATCTAAAAAGCACGTGATGCGATATGCTCGGCCGGGTCCGGACAAAACGAACCTCGCACTGACGGCCGAAAGTAGCGCTAACAAGTCGAATGGAGTGGCGGTGAGGGCTACTGACACACTTTCTAAAGAAACACACGCGAGCACGTCCCCCTCACCTTTCTCGTGTGTCAGTGGTGGCACAGTGGTAGGATGTTCTGGGTCTGAGGCCCAAATGCAGCTCCGTGCAGCCACACACGAGAGTGCACACATGCAGGTAATCACACACAAAGACACACAGGTAACCATGACGAGCACCGTGCACTGGGGGTGGTTTAATGTTGCGGTCGCCCGGTGCATTAAATGCACAGTCTGACAGTCTCTTGTTTATGGGCCTGTCACTTTTTTTTTCACACTCCTTTGCCCCCCTTTATCCTCCCTCTTCCTCGCCCTCCTCCTCCTATTCGCTCTGTCTTCTCCCTTCACGTTGCCTCGTTTCACTGTAGTCGGTCCTGGCTGTCTATTCTGTCTTGTCTTGTTTTTTCCTGCCTTCCCCCTTCTCCCCAGGTTCGTTTTCGCTCCATGGCGCCGCGGGGGCCAAGGAGCACTGTGGCGGCACCGGTTGCCTTTACACGCCTCACTGCACTGTCACGCAGCCTGTCTCGCTTTTCCCATTCAGATCTGTGTCTGTCTGTCTGCAGACATGATTTTGTATTAACCTTCACCTTCGCCTGTGCCATTCCACATTTTCTAAACTTTCTAACCGGGCCATTTTAAAAAATATTTGATACCTTAGTCTGCACTGGGCATTTAACATTCTGCTGCATTTTGAGTAAAGGTTTCAACGTTTCAATGACTTTGTTTGCAAAAAATACATTTTCTTAGTTTAGCATGGAGAAACATGAGTACTCTGTACGCAGCCCTGTCCTTAACCTCATCGATTGTTTCTTGGAGGAACTACCACAGTAGCTTTGAGCTAGATCTCTCCACTTTCATTGGACAGCTGCTGATGTGGATGAATGCGTGCAAATATTTGCAACCATGATCCAAAATTATGTTGAGATGAGCCGCAATCACGTTTATTGTCAGTGTGATGTTGAGTAGTTTATTTAGATTTTGATGTGCATCTTCCTAACACATTAACAACGTTTTTTGGAATTTCTGGTTTTGCTAAAGAACCATTTAGATGTTTGTATACTAGGTAGTTTTTTTTTAGACTTAATGTTTAGTTAAGCTTGGAAACTTGAAGAAATTAATAAAGGAACAACCTGATTCAATTCAGGATTATTTTCTCTAACACATGGTAACATTACATATATACAGTATATAGACATGTATTCTTAAATTCTATAATTGGGGCTTGTATCGCACAAATTCTTTCAAGAATCTTTGTGTTTTTTCTTTCGATATTAAAATTCTGGATAGACTGTGATTGCCTAAATGTATTTACCAATTTTTTGTATGTCTGGAGGGACTGATAATTAATCATCTCTGTTGGCAGCTGCCTCAGTCAACCCACTTTCAGCCCCGCCACCCATAGCAGCAAAATAAAAAAACAACCAAAAAACAACACAAAATGCTACATGTAAAATGCATGTGGCACAAACACAATGTTCCAGTTATTTGAGAGGAAAATCCAATTTTTTTTTTTTAAAAGCAATACATTTTCCAAAGTGACAAACCAGAGGATGTGCATCATCACAAATGGGCACTTTTAAGAATGCATGTGTGGGCCACGCTCTGCCATAGCTTGTTACACACTGATGAGTTACTCCTCCTTGTACAGATAATGCATTTTGGCAGGTGGTGGCGGTTATGGATTGTGTTTGCCTTTAATGCATGACCCATGTTGCACAACCTGGGGCATTTGCACGCCCATTGACACCAGAACACCGCACCTGAACTCAAATAATCACTCACGTACACACACACACATACAGTATATATATATATATATACAGATACACACTGGTGCATACATGTACCTGATGGCAGACAAGCACACTGATCACCATGTTAAACCACATCATCCTCATCCTGTGAGTTTCTCAGGCCTGTGGGTGATGACATTAGCCACCGCAGGCCTGTTGGAAGTGATTAGCTGAGGAGCAGACAGGCCATGACAGCTCAGAGGAGAGTCTTGATAGGGACAGCTGCTACCCCTGTCTCAGCTCCACAGGGGGAGTCCACCAACACACCTCAACTGTGAATTATTTAGGCTTACAATAAAGGGAGTGTGGGAGGTAGCAGAAGGGAAGAAAAAAAAAGAACAACAACACTTTTTTATCTATAGAAGCAAAGACAAATAGTGTTTCTCCTCCTGTGTCTGTGCTTCAACTGCCCCGCTGCTTTGACTAAGAGTGAAATGCTAATACCAGTGCAAAAGTTGTAAGATAAGCCTCTCCAGTATTGGTATTTCACTAATCCCACTGCCAAGACTGATAGAAGAACAGTTCCCTTTATCTAACAGAGGGGATATGATACATTTTTTGGCACAAATATCCAGCGTCACCATTGATATATCCTTCCAACTTTAACATTAAATCATGCTAAATTATTTGTAGCATGGAACTGGGCCTAAATAGCTAAAAATGCTCTTTTTTGTTTCCTAGTCCGCACTGAAAGTCATACATGTCTTTTTTTTTCAACATTCTGTTTTGGGGTTTTTTTTAAATGGAAGATGTAAATTCTTACCTCGATTTTGCTCTGACCGTATTTTCATCCGCCAGCGGAAACATACGCTGATGATCTTCACATCGACTGCTCAGATGGGAAAATACAGACAAATGGACAGGAACAATACCCAATGGGTGAATGAATACTGACCGCATAATTTATGTATGGATCATTTATGACTTCAGCCCTCTTATCTGAGGTCATTTAAGCATATGATAGGTAGAATCAATACAGGCTGTCTGGGGCTGAACTGTAGCTGAGGGAAGTGCGAGTATTTGAGAACAAAATGGGCAACAAAGCACTTTTCTATCAGTTGGTTAGGAGGAAGTGTGATCTCACTTTGGGATTATGTGGTTATTTATGTGCTTCGCTCTGGTTATTAAACCCAGCTCTGTCTGCACAGTAGCTGAATGCTGTAGGCGACCATCTTGAGTTCATTTGCCCACACCGTTCCCCTAAAACAAGTCACAATTAAAACAGCGCTTAATTTACAGTTACAAAAGGCACAGGTTCCCTTTAGGGATCTGTACCATTATTCGTCAAAAACATCACAAATGTCTGTCATCTTAGAATGCATCACAGCGCCTTTAAAGGCAGTTTGGAAGGAAGTAAGATAAAGAAACTTACTGATATTTTTAGGAAGTATAAGATTAAGGCCCAGCCTGAAAAGTGTGCCTACGTAGAATAAATCAAAAGGTATCAGAATAAAAAAAGGCTCTTTAAAGTGGGACTTTCTTTCCTTTTGCAACTCAGGAAACATACACAATTAGGATTTTTTCGTTACACAAAATGCTTAAATCAGTTACTTTGATTTTACTGTTTACCATACCAATTCCAAAAATATTCAAGACTAAAAAGTATTCATTTGGATGAAAATTGTTAGCTTTGATGCCACTTGACTGTACATGCAGAAACCAAGAACAGCCCTCTGAAAGGAAGGTGGGCTTTCTCTTTCTGGAAACATCTTGTAACCAAGCAATAACCCGTATGGAAGGAGACAGATGCGAGGCTGGGAGCTTCACTGGGCGGTTCTCTTTATGTATTGGTTTTTTTGGCATTACAGATATGTCCTAATACAAATATGATACAAAGTCGTAATTTTTAAATATTATCAGGAAGGGACATCCACCATTATCCATTTGCTGTAAGCAAATTACTGTGATTTCTGCATTAGGTTATTTTGCATCAAGTATCAAAGTGCATGCACCAAGTGCTGTAAATGAATATGTCCGATTATATTGACATTTTCAAGAGTTCATTTTAGAATATATCTTATGCACTACTGTACATTCCGTCTGTAGAACCAACTGCTCTTCCTCTGACATTTAGATCATCACTCATATCGCTTGTTAACAGCCTATTTCCCAGTGGGAAACACTGACGCTTCATTATTTATAAATGTAGGTGAGGAAATGACAGCAAAAACCTTAAAAGTGGGTCCATAAAGAATTGATAACACATGTATTTCGAATTTAGGTTAGTTTGGGTGCAAAACTTTCAGCTGCAGTTACAAGCTTTACGTCAATAGATCTGAAATGGCCCTGGATTTTGATAAAAAGACATAACTGTTACATTTTGCATGAGCACAAGGAGACTCAGGCTATGGGAACATTAAATTCAAGATGACCCTTTGTTTCTTCACCCAAATAATAGAAATATATCATGAACTTGGACCTGAAGGAACAACTTTCTTTTGAAAGGCCTTAGCTTATTAATTATTATAAATTTTATTACTATCTACTCTTGCTATTTAATCATGCAATCTGTTTCCACGTGCATTTGATATGGCTTTCCAGCTTTGTGTTTAATCAGGGTTGTATTTGTTTAAGATCAAGAAAAGACTCCTGTTTGGTTTAATATAATGTGATTAAAAAAAAGCTATGCATTTCCATATTGTTGATAACACATGCATAAGTGTGTCATGTTTGTTAGTGAGTTGGAGATCTAAGCTCATATCTATTGATGGTTGACACAATAAATGTTAACGTTTATTCTGTTTATTGTTGGACTGGCCTGAAACAATGATGGAAGGGAGACAGAGAAAACTATGATAGAGGAAGGAGTGACCCTATTAGAAATCTGTTGGTGTTTATATTGCAAATATAAAAAAATACAACCTGCTAAACTGGGAAAACAAGATTGAATATGCGAGGGTTGGTCTTATTTATAAGACAAAAACATATATGTCTGTAGAGGATATAGACTTTAATGTGCAACCAGAGATCCTGTCATCCCATTTGGGAAACGTTCTTTAGGCTGGTCTGAGTTAATGGTTAACTAAGCCCCACCATCATAGAGCTGATACTAACATTGACAAGCAGTTTGTTTGAAATAGTAAAACAGTCCTCTGTCTTGGCAGCGCTTGAATTAGAAAATGTTGTTTGTAGCCACCATTCACTGTCTTTTTGCTGATTAAAACATCTAAATATTTGTAATACGTTCTATCTGTACACTGTAAAGTTTGATATGCACCCTTATCATTTTATAATCTGTTTTTAAGAGGACCTCGTAGCATCACCCTGTGGATTACAGAAAAATTAAAAATGGAATTTTAGCTAACTGTTAAGTTAGGGTTGTGCACAGTCCTCTGTGCACAATGTAATAATAGATTGAATAAATTAACAGTTGGTGCTTTTTTGGGTTTTGAAACTGTGTATGATTTTTTTTAAAAGATAAAAAATGACATATTGAAAGTATTACTACTAGTACCACTTCTTTTTTCTTTTCACAATGCAGTTACTCTTTATACAGGGAGGAAGAAGTGGGATTACAGTAAATTAAGGGAAAATAGAGATAGGAGGAATAAAATTGGGTCACACACAGACTGAAGACTGTAGACTTTTCTTGTTTGTCTTGCTTTCTCTTGACCTTCTCCCCTGAAAACACAGTGTAGCTACGTAACAGAGACTCCCATAATCCCTTTTCCCCGGGGGCAGTGGAGGACTGAGGAGCTCGGAGAGTAAGAGACAGCGAGGAATAGAAGAAAAACAAAGCGAACACAAACACAGAGACAAGCTTCCCGTGGTCCTCT